ATTCGTGTGGTATATATGTACAGTATGTGCAAGTCTACATAAACATGTGACGTGCGTGTATGCAGCCGTGCGAGTATACACAGCACATGAGCACATGTGTAAGCCTAAGGCCACTGTCAGGCACCTTTCCTGTTTTGCCCACCTTTGTTTTTTCTGATAGGGTCTCTGCTGAACCTGAAGCTTACTGATTCAGTGAACCTGGCTGGTTGGCCAATAACCAGTGATCCCTCTTCTCAATCTCTCTCCAAGGCTGGCGTTACAAGCATGCACAGTCAAGCCCAATTTTTTACATGGGTTCTAGGGATCCAAACTCAGGTCCTTATGCTTGTAAAGCAGGTACCTTACTAAATGAGCCATCTCCCCAGTCCTGCACAGTTTTTTTGTTTTTATTTTGTTTGTTTGTTTGTTTGTTTTGTTTTGGTTTGGTTTTTGGTTTTTCAAGACAAGGTTTCTCCATGTAACCCTGGTTATCCCGGAACTTGTTGAATTCAGAGATCCACCTGTCTCTGCCTCCCAAGTGTGTGAGCCCCTATTCTCAGCTGAGTTATTTTTAATTTAATTTTTTTGAGTACTGTATATTCCAATGTTCTAGAACTCACTATTTAGACCAGGCTGGCCTCAAACTAACAGAAGATCTGTTTGCCTGTCTCCTGAGTGATGATGGGATTAAAGGCATCCATTACCATGCCCAATATAAACTTACTTTTTTTTTTTTTAAAAAAAAAGCAAATCTACTTCAAATATACCAAGTTGTATACATTAAATATCTTAGCTTTCAGAATGTCAGTAATACTTCAGTGGGGCGGGAGACACAAGTATATACTTAAAGAAGGAGAAATATAAAAGCATGTCAGAGAGCTAGAGATTTAGCTTAATGGTAGAATGCCAGTGCTCAGCATTTACAAAGCTCCAGGTTCAACCAATCCTTAGCACTGCCCTCAAAATCCATATGATCTTTCACAATTCATAATCTGTTATCTTCAAAGGACACAGTATTAACTACTACCCAGCTAGAGAGACTTAAAAAAACACATGTAGACCAGGTATAGTGGTGCACACCTTTAATTCCAGCACTCAGGTTGAAGCAGGTGGATCTCTGTAAGTCTGAGGCCAGCCTGGTCTCATAGAGAGTTCTGGAATATCGAGGTCTACACAGAGACACTCTGTCTAAAAATAATAATAAATTAATAAGGTGGTATTTGTTCAAAATAAATAGATTTTCTAGCACACGCCAGGTCAGGAACAAAAATGAGGAAGGCAAAGCTCGGTTCTCAAGACATGTAAGGGGGGAAGATGTCAACACACACCGTCCAGGGCAATCATGCTGTTACTCAGCAGGTACACAGGGATGAAAAGAGGGAGGCTATATGCTGCTGGCACTGGTTCTAATTCATCAAGTAATCATGAGTCAGTGCTTGTGCCATATCACCTGTGATTATAACACAAATTGGTTATCAACAGTTGCATTCTAAAAAATAGTATGAAAAGAAGACATTAAATTGGATATGGTAATGTATTATATGTAGTACTAGCTATGCTGCAGGCTGAGGGAGAAGAATCATTTGAGCCCAGGGGTTCCAGGCCAGTCTGGACAACAAAAGAGACCTCATCTCAAAAAAAGAAAAACAATAATGTTAAAAACTTCCATATAAGGGGCTGGAGAGATGGCTGAAAGATTAAGGCACTTACAGCCTTCCCAGAGTTCAGATCCCAGCATCCACATGGATAGTTCACAACCACCTGTGTCTAGCTCCCAGCTCCAGTGCTCTCTTCAGGACTAGGTAGGTACATACTACATACATTTAAAGACACATCTGTACACATGTGCACAACTAGAGATGTTAAGAATTAAAGTCTAGAGTTCTCATGTTCCCCTGTGTTTCTCAGCAAGGAAATTTAGCATGTTTAGATAATGAAGCTGTTTCTAGGTGAGGGGAACTGGGTATGCAAAGTACGGTGGCTGGCAATACCTAGGTCTGAATAGCAATGCTGAAGGCATAATTTAGATCTATTCTGTTCAATGAGGTAACCACTAAAAACAAGTGGTTACAGAGCACCTGAAATGTGATTAATGTGAATTGAGATGTAATAAGTAAAAAATACATTCTAGGTTTCAAACATTAAACATGAAAAAAAAAGACTGTTAAAATATCCCAGTACTAGTTTTTTGAACTTTTCTTTTTTGTAATTACATATTTAAATACTAAGATTTTGGATGTTTTAAAGTGAATAAAAATGTTACAAAAATCAATTTCACCCTTTCTTTTTACTTTTTAATGTGGCTACTAGAAAAATTTAAATTACATATGTGGTCTACATCTGTGGCTTGCTTTCTATTTCTATTGGACAGTACTAGTCCAAAGATCTGTAAATAGCAGGCTAAAGCACTTAAACCCTTTAAGCAATCAAACACCATTGAGGATTTCCAATCTAAGTGTTTGTGGTGGATTTGGGAAGGAGCAGAAAACATAGAGCAATCTTTCAGGAAGATTAGTGTGGGGGAAACATGTAGGGGTGAAACACTAGAGGCAGCTGTCAATGTCAAAGGCAGCAAATGTCAAAGGGCAAGCAGGCTGGAACCTACACGAGGTCTCTAGAAGCAACATGCTGAAGAGAGAAAGAAATCAAAAGCAGCTAAGACAAGGGAAGAGTAACAGGTGCAGTGCTGACCCAGGCTGAAGGACCAGGATGCAATGCTCACTCAACAGGTGCACTACTGACCCAGCCTCCAGCATGCAATGCTCACTTAACTCAGCAAGCTCAATACAGGATTCTCATATCTATCTTTATGTGGCAAGCTCTCTTAAGAGTGGCATTAAGCAGGCAGTGGTGGTGCACACCTTTGATCCCAGCAGATTAAAGCAGAAGAGACAGACAGATCACTGACTTTGAGGCCATCCTGGTCTACAGCGTGAGTAGGTCTACAGGGCTACAAAGAGAAATCATGTCTCAAAAAAAAAAAAAAAAAAAGAGTGGTATCAAATCCCAGACACTACCAGAAGGAAGTAGGCAGACAAGGCTATAACAATAAACAATAAGAGTAAAAGCCAAATTCATAGCATAACCAAGAACTATTTCCAGGACTCTGCTGTATGCCTGACACTTGGACAGGCTCTGGTGACGGGGCAAACAAAACAGACATGGCCCTGAATCACAAGTTGCTAACAACAAAAATGAACAGGAGCTCTTAGAGACATGAGCAGGAATAAGGATCAGTGGACAGAGACTGGAAGAAAAGGTCTTCAGAAGCTGGGCATGGTGGCTTACACCTGAAATCTCAGCATTCAGAAGGCTAAGGCAGGACGGTGGCCAAGAGTTCAAGACCAGCCTGGCCAACACAGTGAACTCCAAGGCATCCTGGGATATAGAAAGAGAAATTTAAAAAACAAACAAACAAACAAATCACCAACACCATGCAGAAGGGAGAGAGAACAATGAACTGGCTCTTGAGACATGGTGCTAAAGGTCTGTAATTCAGGCACTGGGGAAGTTGAGGCAGAAGGAGCACGAGTCTGAGGCCAGTAAGACCACATAGCAAGACCTAAGAAAATAAATTCTTAAAAAAAATCAAAGAAAAAAGAGCTTCAAAGTACTACATGCAATGAATATGTCAATTAAAAATCAAAAGTTAGATGTATTTCTGTTTTTTTTAAGGTGCTTAATTCTAAAACAAGAATGGTCTCAATTTAACATTAAATTCTTAAGCCAGGTACAGGCAACCTTATATTACCAGTGGATTCTCCTTTCCTATCTTTCTCTGCTTCTTAGTGTTCCTTTTGCCTTTCTCCCTCTGGAAAATTTAGGAGGCAAAAATAAAACAAGCAAAAAACAAACAAATAAAAACCAAACAGACCAATGATTAACCCTAGCTGTATAGTTCTTGTCCTCAGCCCTGTAACAATGAAAGTGTCTGTCCCTACACCTGAGGTAAGTATTTCAAAAGTAACAGAGAGGGTGGAACATTGTAAGCACGCAACAAATGTTAGCCAATTCTGACATTCGAACAAAAGTACTGCTCTGATTTTAAAACATTTAAGAACTTCTATTTGAGGGTAAGATTTCAAGGGTATGATGGTTTAACACACACTCAGCGTAGACCATTCCCTTACTCTTTTAAGTACCATCAGAAACTATTGCTCAAATAATCAAGTTACGACATCCCTTAAAAAACGGTAAAGATCTAAGCCGGGCCTCTTTAACCCAGCACTCAGGTGGCAGAGGCACGGGGATCTCTGTGTTCCAGGCTATCCTGGTCTACGTAGCAGTTCCAGGCCAGCCAAGGCTACACAGTGAAACCTTGTCTCAAGAAACCAAACAAACAAAACAGGAAAACACTGGTAGGCATCCCAACCCTCACCCCTGCATCCCGAGTGGGACAGAACCATCTCACCTGTACTCTGGATACTGGTCAATGTGCCTACCTGGAGGGCCAGCTACACTGATAGCCCTCCCACCTACTACAGCGATGCCTGGCACTGCACAGTGCAAGACAACGTCCACTGTCCGCGTCCTCTCTCTTTACGACCCGCCATAAACACATACAGTTTTAAGGTCAAGAACTGAACTCTCACACACGGAGAGAAACAGTATTAAACCTTGACAAAGGGCGAGGATGTGCGACTTTGCTTGCTGCCGTGTTTAACTGTTAAGAACAGACTCATGATGTTTTATTCACGGCGTTTTGGTTGGTACTCTTTACTCATTGAGTCAAAAGACACATGAGAAAGCATGAAGCTAAAAGTCCCAGATGGGTGACCTGTGTCCAAGGCTGCTGTTACTGGGTGTCCTTAGCCACTGCAGTGAATTTCGCTGGAGCAGATAGTTAGCCATTGTGGACTAAGAAATCCGTTAGTTTGAACTTAAAGGGCGCCGGAGCAGCGGAAGGTGGCAAACCCTCCCCAGGGCTGTTTTCAACCCTGTCATCCCTCCGCCACTCATTTGTTTCTTCGTCCAAAGTGAGCTTCGCCTTGTCCCGCAGATCCTCCCGCAGCTCTCGCGGGATGGCCATGGGACCCCGCCATCAGATCCCGCACACAAGCCTGCGCGCCCGCAGCGCGGGGACACCGGATGCTCGCGCCCCACCGCCAGGCAGTCTCAGCTCCAAGGGCCTCGCAGTCCCGAGGGCCCAGGCGACGACGCGAAGCGGTCGGACAGCCGCTGGCCCACCCGGAAGCCCTTCCTCGGCTCACACCTGCCGGCGCGTGACGCCGGTCTGTCCCTGCCCCGCTACTCAGGACGCCAGGGCCGCCGCGACCGACGTGACCGCGCGTCCCTCACACACCCCTCCCCCGCCTCGCGTCTACACTACACACGTCGCGATCCCCACAGCGCGCCCGGGGCGAGCGCCCCGGCCCGCGGCGGCCCACCCCGGCCCTGCTCGCTCGCGCCCCATCCTCCCCGAACCCCTCCCGTCGCCCGGCTCGCTCCCGTCGCGCGCGTTCGCGAGGACACGCACGCGCTGCGCCTCACCGGGCCCCGCCACGCCGCGCGCTCCCGAGGGCGTCCTCGGTCTCCCACCCTAGTCGGCCCCGCGCGGCCCGGCGGCTCGCGAGGAAGAGGAAGGCCCGCGCGGCCCACAGTCCCCACTCACCGCTGAGCCGCGCCGGCTCCGAGTGTGCGTCGTTCCGCTGTGAAGCCCTGCGGTGACCGCGGTCTCCGCTTCTCCGCAAGCTGTGGAGGCGATGTCGCAGGGAGGCTGAAAGGCGAGGGGTGTCACGGTCGCTCGCTTCACCTTCCCGAAGCTCGGGGACCCCAGAAACTAAAAACAAAATAAACAAACTTTCCCCTCCGCCTCCCTCCCCCAAAACCACAACACAAACACTCGGAGACCCGCCCACAACCACACCTCATTGGCCGCAGGCAGGATGCCTCTGCAGTTCACTGGCTAACTTTCGTGCCAGTCAAACTGCTGTTCCGCCTCTCTTAAGTCCTCGCCGCTGCCGCCTCCCCTCATTGGCTAAGTGCTTCCCGTTTGCCGAGCTGGGGTTGGCTGAGCGGCCTGCGCCAATCATGAGGGGACACACCCCCTGAGCATCCCAGAGGCCGCTTCCTCGGTCGCCGACCCAGAGAGACGAAGGGGAAACTAGAGCATGATGGCGGCCGAGCTCGCCCAGCGCAGTCATCATCTTTTCCGTTTTTTAGCTCATGAGTGCCTCTCTCGGACGCTGTTTCTCATAAGCTCCTTCCTCCATTCGAGACTTCACTAATAACGGAATCTATACGTGCCGGCTCCTTGATTTATCCCCTCCGAAGTGCTCAAGTGGGTTGGTTGTGCGTCATTGGACTGTCAGGGTGTCGCTCCCAAGCCACATCCTTAAACTATTGGTGGAGCAGCCAGAAAGCGGCCAGCAACAAGGGCCCATGCCATTGGTTTGATTCCACTGTTTGTTTGGGTTTTTTTTCCTGGCATCTTATTGGGCACTTCGGTGTTGTCCGTCAGATCCGTATTCGCCGCCCTGCTGTTTAGCGGAGGGGGTGTGGGTGTCTTTGGTCCTTGGTAGTTGACAGTAATAACTACTATCATTTATTGTGGATGTATTTTATGCCAAAAACGGTGCTGAATTCTTTACAGAAACTATCCGATTACACCCAAATATTCACAGAAAGCAAGGCCAAAGGAGGTTTAAAAACGTACCCAAGGTCACTCATTTAGAAAGGAGTTGTTTGGCCATACATTGATGTCTAGGCCTGTCTGACTCAACAGTCCTCACTCGTTTAGCTATGCGTTAGTGCCTCTGAATAGTACCTGCTAGTCAACCCAACATCATAAAACTGTTTCTTTCAGAACCCAGGGTCCTTATGCAGTTTCTGGCAATAACATTAACTAACAATGGAACGATTGTCATTAACATTATTGTAGACTGTAACTTTGGAGAGATTGTCATTTTCTCCGTGACATCTTCTCCTAGGATCCATTCTTCCCCTTCTCAGTTAAACAATAAATATTTGCCGACAAGAAGCACATGTAAATCTATTTTCAGTTTCTTTGGCTTTGTAAATGACGATTTTTTTTTTTTACCATTCTTATGTGCCAAAGCAATCTTCACACCCATCGCTGACCATCTTTAGCATGTTCCTGTGAAAAAAATATCTCAGAGTTGGAAATGATGAGAAATCAAGTCTAGAGTGAGATACAGAATAAATCCCTTTAGAAATAATTGATTGCATGCAAATGGAGCAGTCTTCTGACTTCTGGAGAGCTTCCAGAGTTGCTGATGTCGAGCAAGCCATGCGTGTATTCCTGGCTTCTGGCCACGGGATTCTTTCTCTGTGACAGCTTTTATGGAAGTGAATCCACATTTCAACCAGGGGAGGGCAGGATGCTTAGGACCCACTCACTAGCACAGTGCCAGCCCCAAGCCTCCGAGACTGTAATGATCTCCAGGAGCACACTGATGGACTCTGGCCCACATTTCTTCTTGGGTAATTAACATTTTACCATCCCAAATCCCTGTCCCTTGTAGCTGAAGGGGGATCATAGGCCTTGTTTCCCTTCCCTATCCAAGCAGTTGTGTAATCTCATTGGCACTATTTAGCAATAAAACAGCCATGTAACACAGTAATAAACTCAACACTTACAGCCTTTCGGAAGAGGAAGACAAGGTATTTCACAAACATCAATTAAGAGTAAATGGCAGGTTTCCCTAGGATAATTTGAGGACAGGAGGGAGATCATAAGTCAAATTCTAAGAAAGGACTTAAAGACATGGAGCCTGATAACTCCATGCACAAAGCTCATATTAGGATTCAAAATGGGGATTAGGAACCAGAAAACAGAATGAGAAATGTCGAGGGTTCAGAACCTTCCAAGCCCTCCAAGTTGATTGTTTTGTATCACTTGAAAATATTTACTTCTTAGCCAGGGGGGGAAGAGGCAGAGGCAGGCGGGTCTCTGTGAAGTCATCCTGGTCTACAGAGCGAGTTCCAGGACAGTTAGGACTGTTACACAGAGAAACCCTGTCTCAAGAAACCAAAAATAAAATATTTACTTCTAGGGACTAGAGAGATGGCTTGGTGGTTGTGATCACCGACTGCTCTTCCAGAGGACCCAGGTTCAATTTTCAGCACTCATATGGCAGCTCACAACTGTTTGTAACTTATGCATGTGGGGTACAGATATTTGCAGGCAAAACACTAAGACACGTAAATAAAAATATTCATTTACATGTATGTAGATCTGTATCTGTGTGAGAGTATGCCATCATGTGTGCATTGCCCATGGAGTTTAGAAGAGGACTCCAGGTCCCCTGGTACTGGAGTTAGAGATCCCTATGAGCTGATCCCAACATTGGTGCTGGGAGTCAAAATCAGGTCCTCTGCAAAAGCCGCAAATGTTTTTTTTTAATATTTATTTATTATGTATACAATATTCTGTCTGTATGCCTGAAGGCCGGAAGAGGGCGCCAGACCTCTTTACAGATGGTTGTGAGCCACCATGTGGTTGCTGGGAATTGAACTCAGGACCTTTGGAAGAGCAGGCAATGCTCTTAACCACTGAGCCACCTCTCCAGCCCCTGCCGCAAATGTTTTTAACCACTGAGCTGCTCTCGCCATCCCCTGTACCTCTGTCTTAATCCTCAAGATAATGTTTGGTTTTATATGAGTTATTGGGCAAATCTCAGCTGCAAGTTCCTTGAAATAGTTTTATTTTTCATCTTTGTGTCCCTTATATTGAACTGTCTATAAAAGATTCCCCCAATAAATGATTGTTCAGAAATTACCTAGTGAGTTTGTTAAGAACTTTCCTAAGGTCAAAGGATTGCTCCACAGATAAAAACACCTTGTTTGCTGTCAGGGACCTCAACGTTGTAGGATGAATAACGAAAACACAGTGTAGTGCTGCGATGCAGTGTCCTGAAAGAACACCGGAGGGATTGGGGACCCAATCTTGGAAGGATAGAAGTGACATTTATAAGAACTACAGGACAGTCAGGCAATGATGGCACACACCGTTAATCTCAGCATTTGGGAGGCAGAGACAGGCAGATCCCTGTGAGTTTGAGGCCAGCCTGGTCCACAGAGCGAGTTACAGGACAGGCTCCAAAGCTATAGAAAAACTCTGTCTCGAAAAAAGAAAACAAAACAAAAAAACTACAGGACAAATGTGCTTAGCCAGGAAGAGACTGGTGACAGGTGGTGACCTACTATATCTGCTTGGGGAGGGTGAGGGTAAAGAGAACTATTGGAACATTCAGGAGTGGCCCAAGTCTGTTCTTTCTATAATCTTTGTCTTTGCCATTTCTAAATAAGATTTTTTTTTCTGATTATAGAATTAATGTTGAAAAGCTGAATATAAATGCACATACCTATAATCCCAGCATTTGGAAGGCTGAGACAGGAGGGTAGAGAGTTCAAGGACAGCCTAGACTGCATAGTAAGACTCTTGTCTCAAAAAAAAGGTCTGAAAAGTAACACTGAATAAATGGAACACATATGAAATGTTTTAAAGTAAGAAAAAAAACCCACTTCCCATAATCCTATCCTATGCTATAGCCACCCACCCACAGAGGAGCATGCCTTCCTGTGGTCTTTCAGGAACAGAGGCACACATAATTTATCTTTGGGGGCTGGAGAGATAGCTCAATGGTTAAGAGCATTGCCTGCTCTTCCAAAGGTCCTGAGTTCAATTCCCAGCAACCACATGGTGGCTCACAACCATCTGTAATGAGGCCTGCAGGAAGAATACTATATATATATAATAAACAAATAAATAAATATTTTAAAAAATAATTTATCTTTGAGCAAAGAGCTGGATATGATGCAGTCTAGTCTGGGTGCTAAGACCCCTCATTTCTCCAAACTACAGCTTTGGCCAGAATTTGTCCTCGCTTTCTATACAGAGAGGAAGGAAGCCAGTAAATCAATAAAATATTTATGATGGAAGACGAGGGTTTCAAATTCCTGCTGGAGTCAATATCAGGATTTTTGGGTTTGCTGAGCCTGGTGAGAAGGTAGAGTTAATGAATTGATCCAAGGTGTTTCCTGAGCTCACTGGTATTGCCAGAGGACTTCCCAGCATGCTTTGGTGGCTGTGGAATCAACTGGAGCCCAGAAAAGCAGTCCAGGCTAGCATATTCTATGTTCTCTTCATTTCCTCTCAGCATGCCACTTGGAGAAAATAATTTTTGTTTGTTCCAACCCACCCAGATTTGAAAGCAAAAAGAATCCTTAGCCCTGCATATTTGCATGCTGGCCACGTGCACTGTGTTCTTGGAGCCCTGTACTATTCTGGGAGCTTTGTATATGGTGTTCTATAAGTTGGCTTTCTGCTGGAGGAGAAGGCAGATTTAATGAGTGATAGTTTTCTTGGATGGCTACCAAAAGTATTCCCAGCCACCCCAAGCAACAGACTTCCTTTATGTCCCTTGAGAGACTGTGCTGTGGTCTCTGCCCTTAAACTGGACAAGATCCAAGCCAATAGGAACTTTTGCAAATGATTCTGCAATGACCCGCAGGCTTGGGACAGTTGTGGCCAGCTGGATGTACTCCAGTTCTGACTTCTGCGGCACAGGCAAACACCCTCCAATACTTTGGCCTTTCAATGCTCTGAGACATTTGGCAAAGTTTGCAAAGCATTCCCAATTCTCAAAGCTCATAACAATGAGGTGATCTCTGTAAAGGAACCTAATCCAAAAGTCAAGGGGACAGCTGACAGCTGAGGCTGATTACTAGAGCACGGGGGGGTGTGGTAACCAATAACCAGGAGCCACGGGGGAGGGGAACATGCTGGAGGGTGTGGATGACAGAGGACATGCTCAGAGGTATTTATTACATGCCTGGTAGCATCTATTATGCAACAAAAGCCCTCAAGGTAGACGCC